CTGGACCAGCGCTTCCAGGGGGGGGGCAATGCAGATCCAAGATATCCGCGCAGAGCTTCAGAAGTTCATGCTTATTCATACCCTACAGTCAACCAAGATAATAAGGATGCGCGGTAAGGATGCAAGGGCCTTGGAACGCCATGTTGAGGTTTTCCGCGCGGAGCGCGGCCGAATTCCGAAGGTTGCAAGGGTACCCTGAGGAGCCGTCATCCTTGCCGAACATTGGCCAGCGAAAGTTGGCAAGGATGCGCCGAAGGGGCAAGGATGTAAGGGTACCCTGGCCAAGTTGCCCCATCCTTACTATCATGGTTGACTGTAATACCGTTTCGCTTGAGGGCTCTACTGATGCACCAGAGAACCGCCAAAAGGTCCCACAAGGGGACGGGGAGCCTAGACCGCCCCGTGCGGCAGCCGTGTCAAGTGAGATTTCCCCACGGTTGATTCAGGAATCGTGCTGTCGCCTCAATGCCAGCTACATGTTTGGTGCAGACGGCCACGATCCCTCGTGCACAACACCAAGGTGCACGTGGCCGTGCCCTCATCGTTGTCCTCTTCGGCCCACATCCTACTCCTCGACCCGCCTCTTCACCTTTTCTGCTACTAGTCGGCGGCGAGCCCCGGGGGGGAAGTCAGAGGGGGCGGGCCGTCTCAAAAGGCTCGGAAGGCTTCTGGCATTCTGGGACACCGTCTGACCCTCCTAGGCTAGGGCTCCCAACTTCGCGCTTCGCGCTGCGCGAAGCGCGAAGTGCGAATAACTTCGCGCTCTCGCGCCGCCTCCCAGGGGGAGAAGAGGAGGATGAGGAGAAATCGGAGCCGAACCGCGAAGCGCGAATAACTTCGCGCACTCGAGGGCGCCCTTGCCTAGGAGGACGAACACATCTTCTCAGCAGGCCGGAGGGCTTCTGGGAAGCCCCCATACGCCCTCTGAGAATGCCTGCCCCCCCCTTTCTTCGCCCAGGCGCGCCGCCCAATCAGGCCGCTCTGCCAGGGCAGTGCTGCGTTTTCCTTCTCCGAGGCAGGGCCGCCAGGTGGCGGCTCGGCAGCGCCATGCCGCGGAGCGCCACGACGCCGCCGACACGCGCTCGCGCGCGGAGCGCAACGTCCACCGCCAGCGCCGCCCCCTGCGACAGGCCCAGGATCACCAGGCGTCTCGGGTCGCACCCGGGGAGCAGCTGGCACTCTTGCTGAGGGGCCCACGTTCGGGCGGGGCCAGCACAAGGGAGGCAGGGGGGCTCCTCCTCCTCCGCCTCCTCCTCCTCCTACTCCTGCTCCCTCCTCCTCCTCCCTATCGTCCCTCCCTCGCTGCTCCTCCTCCTCTGCTCCTCCTCCTCCTCCTCCTCCTCCTCCTCCTCCTCCTCCTCCTCCTCCTCCTCCTCCTCTCCCTCCTCCTCCTCCTCTCCCTCCTCCTTCCCTCCTCCTCCTCCTCCTCTCCCCACTCCTCCTCCCCCTCCTCCTCCTCCTCCTCCTCCTCTCCTCCTCCTCCTCCTCCTCTCTTCCTCTCCTCCCTCCTCCCTCCTCCTCCTCCTACTCCTCCTCCTCCCTCTCTCCTCCTCCTCCTCCTCTCCTCCTCCTCCTCCTCCTCCTCCTCCTCCTCCTCCTCCCCCTCTCCTTCCTCCTCCTTCCTCCTCCTCCTCCTCCTCCTCCTCCTCCTCCTCCTCCTCCCCCTCCTCCTCCTCCTCCTCCGTAGCCATTTTGGCTCAAGCCGTTCCTCTCGGGGAAGGGGGGCCGCCCCGGTGCGCCCGCGCGCAACTCGGGAACGGCGCAGCGCGGGCGAGCCATGGGCAGACTGCAGATGGCGCCTATGGTGGGCACGGTCATGACCACGACTGCCCTCAGGCGTCTATCGCGGAGAGCTGCGAGGTGACGAAGGGTGCAATCGGCACGGCATTGTGCACGCTCGCGAGCATTGGCGCGGCCAGGGCGAAGGTGTACAGCAAATTCGTCGTTCTGGGCCCGATGATGCTGGTAAGCTCGTCCCGGTCACGGCCTTCCCAGCGACGGCCTCGAGAATTCGTCGTGCTGGGCTTAAGTCGGGCCTGTCCCCCTACAGAGGGATTTAGGACGAAAAATTTAAGATACCCCAAACATACACCAAAATTGTCAAGCAATACTAAAAACATCATCCCCTGACTATTTTTTGATTATTTTTGAATATTCCCCCTGTAGAGGGACAGGCCCGACTTCATGCCAGGCCTGGTGGTGAGCTCGCCCGAGGCGAAGATGAGCGGCGAGTTCGTCGTGGCGGGCCCGATACGGCGAGCTTCGCCGCGGCGGGCCCGGGCATGGCTGGCGCGGGAGCGCCCTCGGACGAGTTCGCCAGTCTGGCCCGTGGGAAGGGCAGGATGTCCCGAATTTCAGGTCGGGCATGTCCCCTTACAGGCGGATTTTGGACGAAAAAAAAAAAACGCCGGCCCAACGGGCCAGAGGCGTGCTAAGATCTCCAGTACCTGGTTCACAGTATTTCTAGTTCGCGCGCGCGGGGCGGCCCCTGGGGGTCCCCGGACGAAAAGTACCCCGGCAAGCTCCCGGGAGAAGCTCCCAGAGCGCTCCAGGAGCGCACCAACAGGGCCCCGAGACGTCCCCGAGAGTCCCAAGAAGAACCAAGAGAGAGTCCCAAGAAGAGCCAAGAGCGCCCAAGAGGCCCCCAAGATGGTACACCAAGGGTTCGAGATGCCACAAGATCGCTCCAAGATGCTCAAGATAGCCCCCAGACGCCCCTTTCAAGAGCACTCCCAAGAGGGCCCCAAGAGGCAAAATTCACTGTTTTTCCTAAGGTTTGGGGGAGATGTTGGCGTTTCCACCTTTTCGGCATCGCGACGCCCCAAGACGGCCTAAGAGGCCCCCAAGATCGCCCTAAGAGGGCCGAGAGGCCTCCGACAGGGCCCCAAGACGGCCCAAGAGGGTTCCAAGACGGCCCAAGAGGCCTCCAAGAAGGCCCAAGAGGGCCCGAAGAACGCTCTAAGAGAAGCCCCAGAAGGGGGAACACGAAACAACATTTCGAGCCCTCGGCCCTAAGAAGCCCCCAGGAGGCGCCAAGAGGCCCCTAAGAAGCCCCAGGAGGCCCCCAGAAGGCCCTCACGAGGCCCTCAAGAAGCTCCCAAGCGGCTCCCAAGCGGCTCCAGGAGGCCCCCCAAATGCCCCCCCGACCACGCTAGCAAGTGCCAGCGATGCTACAATATGGGCAGCGAGCACAAAGACATTCTGGGAAACTTCTGCACAGCGCTCCGTCTACCCTCCTCAGGCACTCCTCCTCCTTCTCCTCCTCCTCCTCCTCCTCCTCCTGATCCCCTCCTCCACTCCTCGACGGAGCGGTCCATCGTTGGGGGTTTCTTGGGGGCCTCTTGGGTTTCTCGTGGCACGTTGGGTCCTGGGTTCCTCCAAGCCCAAACGCCAGCGAGGGCACAATACGGGCCGGCGGAATGAGCGAAGCGATTAAATACTCAAACAATACCCCAGAATGGTCAGAACAAAAAAAAAACGTCCCCAGCCTATGTTTATGACTATTTTTGAATACTCCTCCTGTAGAGGGACAGGCCCGACTTAACCCTGATGGGAAGGACAGGCTGTCCCGAGTTCTGGGCTTTGGGGAGGGCGGTCCCTCCCCGGGGCCGCCTCTGGGATCGGCCTCCCCCGCGTGCGGGGGGAGGCGGGATCTCGGGGGGCGCCCTGGGCGCCGTCTGCTGGCTGCAGGCGCCGGGGAGGGGCCGCCCTCCCTCCGCGGGGCGCGGGGGAGCAGTGCTCCATTTGCCTCGTCCTCTTTTCCTCCTCCTCCTCCGCCTCCTCCGCCTCCTCCTCCTCCTCCGCCTCCTCCTCCTCCTCCTCCTCCTCCGCTCCCTCCTCCTCCGCCTCCTCCGCCTCCTCCTCCTCCTCCTCCTCCTTCTCCTCCGCCTCCTCCTCGTCCCAATCCTCCTCCTGCTCCCTCCCTCCTCTCTCCATCCTCGTCCCTCAGCGTCGGCTCAGATCGTGCCGCCGTTCGGGGGGACGGGAACATTGACCTGGGATCGACGCCACGTCGCCGGTAGATCGGCGACGGGCCCCCGTCGGCGAATCCGCACGGTACTGGGCAAGGCGGCTATCGGGTCCCTCTGGGCGATGAATGGGCGATTGCGTATTCTCGTCCCGTCCCCCCTGAGCCTATTCTCGTCTCCGGTGGTTTGGAAGAGGAGGAGGAGGAGGAGGAGGAGGAGGAGGAGGAGGAGGAGGAGGAGGAGCAGGAGGAGGAGGAGGAGGACGAGGAGGAGCGTGAGGAGGAGGAGGAGGAGGAGGAGGCGGCGGCGGAGGAGGGGGAGGAGGATGAGGAGGAGGAGGAGGAGGAGGAGGAGGACGAGGAGGAGGAGGAGGAGGAAGGCCATAACTCGGGCCTCCGGCGGTCGTTCGGGACGATCCGAGCACCCCCCGAACGCCCTCGGCGAGGCGCAGCCGCTGGAAGGCATCCCGAGGCTGGCGAGCCGCCGAGAACAAACGAGAGCGCCCGAAAACCTAGAGCCTTGAGCCTCGAATCCCCATGAGCCTACACTCGACCAGGATAGTAAGGGTGCGCGGTAAGGATGCAAGGACCTTGGAACGCCGTGTTGACGTTTCCGTGCGGAGCGCGGCAGAATGCCGAAGGATGCCGGATACCGAAGGGGCCGGGATGCAAGGGTAGCCTTGGAAAGTTGCCCCATCCTTACTATCATGGTTGCCTGTACAAGGGCTCTCAGTTTCGCGCTTCGCGCTGCGCGAAGCGCGAAGTGCGAATAACTTCGCGCTCTCGCGCCGCCTCCCAGGGGAGAAGAGGAGGAAGAGGAGGAACCGGAGCCGAACCGCGAAGCGCGAATAACTTCGCGCCCTCGAGGGCACCCTTGCTGTAGCCCCTCCCGAGCGCTGCGTCCCCGCCCTGAGCCTCCCCCCCCCCGAACGCTGCCCCTGACTTGCTCCACGAGCAGCAGCACCCGGGCGCGCTGCTCCTCAAGCTGCGCCGCGTGCTTCACGTCGTTGCCTTCGTACTCGAACCACGAACGGCCGGAGGCGCCCGCGAGGGGGGCCCCACTGGCCGATTCACCCCCGTAGATGGGGGTATGGGTCGTTCCCTTCGGGTTTCGAGGGGTGCATCCCCAACTGGGGGGGTCATTTGGTGGGGCTCTCGAAGGGGATAGGGGGTGGGGATGGGGATTGGTTGAACAATACCGAGTGATGCGAGTGGGGCGGGTGCGCATCACGTGTGAGCCCTGCCCCTGCAGGTCAGACGCCTGAAAACCCGCTGGGGCTCAGAATTTGGAGGATGCCTGCGGCCAAGTGGAACCCAGCGGGGGTGTTCGATACCCCGGCGTCGAGTGTACGCGAAGGGTGGGGTGCGTGCGCTGGTGGTCGCAGAGTGCTTCTCAGAAGGCGGCGGGGCTTCTTGCAGGCAGTGACCTTCCTGGAAGGCTCTGGAAGCTTCTGCTAGGGCTCCTCCGCAGCCGCCGGGCCCTTCTAACAAGCGCCCCACCGCCTCAGAAGCCCCTCCCGCTCCGCTCTCTCAGACGCCGGCTCACCTCGCGCCACCCCCCTCGCGGGTGCCGCCGGAATTGAGCTCCTTTTCCCAGCCGTAGTGGTTCTCCACGCGCAGGGGCGCGCACGGGACGACGACGCGGACGCGGCGCCGGAAGGGCAGCTCCAGGCGGTGGAAGAACGCGGTGAAGTCGTCGGGGCCGCCGCTGCAGGAGTGAAGCACGAGCATCGGAGGAGGGCCGGTCGGGACAACGGCAACCCTCCCTGGCGTGTTTCGTTCTACTTGGGCCTCCTGGCGGCCGCCTCCTCCTCCTCCTCCTCCTCCTCGCCTCCTCCTTCCTCCTCCTACCCCTCCTCTCTCCTCCTCCTCCTCCTCCTCCTCCTCCTCCTCCGCCTCCTCCTCCTCCCTCCTCTCCTCCTCCTCCTCCTCCTCCTCCTCCTCCGAATCCTCCTCCGCATCCTCCTCCGCCTCCGCCTCGCCTCCGCCTCCGCCTCCTCCTCCTCCTTCCTCCTCCTACCCCTCCTCTCCTCCTCCTCCTCCTCCTCCTCCTCCTCCTCCTCTCCTCCTCCTCCGCCTCCTCCCTCCTCCTCCTCCTCCTCCTCCTCCTCCTCCTCCCTCGTCGCAAGGGCCAGAGCCGCCTCCAGCAGCGGGTCAGGATGGGCCCCGGGGAGAGGTCCGGGGACCGACTCTGTGAAGGGGGTTCGGCCCAGGCGG